GAAAATGGATTAACTAATGTTAGATGCATAGGCTTAACCGATTTTGCTTAATTTAATCTTATTTAACGGTCAATTCGGTAACCATGCCTGCGTTATAGAATAATTAAAGAAGTTGGACTCGTTATAAGCCATTTTACAGTCTATAAACTCAGATCAAATGGCTCCAAATTGTAAAAAAGTGATGCTCTCAGAAGAATTTTACACTTATCAAAACTAACACGACTATGAAATGTGCCACTTGTTGCCCATTCGGTAGTCTTGAATAGTTCGAGGAAATTAAGCTATGACTAAACTTAAGGCCTCCATCAAAATTATAATTTAATTTTGTCAAAAATTATTTTTGTCGTATTCTCTAGCTCTGATCCAATAATATCTACATGAAGAGGGTACAATCTCGAGTAAGTAATGTGTCAAAATAGCTATTTTGGTAGAATTCAATCAGAATTAAATATTTTCAGCGGAAAAAATCCAATACATCTTAATTGATTAAAACTAAATTTTCATAAATAATAAAGAAATTCTCCGGCATTTACAAAGCTTCGATTTTGCCCAAAGTAGTTTATTACCATAAAATTGTAATCATAATAAATTAGGATTCAGCAAGACCAGGAACTATGTAGTCAGGTGTGTGTACAACGCAAGCTTGTAAATTAAAAAGAGCAAATAATTACATTTTCATACTTCAAGTAAAATATGTTTTATACCATCTTAATTTATCAGGTATAGCGGCCATTTCCGCAACATTTGCTGTTGAACAAATTACATGATAAATCTTTATATCCACATTTTAGTTTATGAATATAAATATGAATAATCTCCGTAAATGTGGAATATATTTTCTCTTTAAATTCTTCGTCTTAATAATCCCTGAAATTTCCGATTAATTTGGATTGCCATAAAGTTATTTGCAAAAAACGATGTTTATCTTAACTCAATTTGTGGTAAGTAAATATTCTGGATACTTGTAACCGTGCCCAGATGAACACTAATTTTGCATTTGTGTCATAATTCACATAATTCAGGATTTAAAATGCCACGACTTATCCTCACAAGTATTTTCATGGTGATAAAAAGACTATTGATATGACTAATTATAGTCTAAAGATATTATATTTTTGGAAAATAGAAAATGCTGTTTGTTCTCCAAGCCTTTTTGGATTTTATTCACTAATTCACTAAATACCTCGAGTTGATCTTAGGATACTTCGATTATCAAAAAATCTGAATGTATTGGTTCAACGCTGTTTACTAGTCCATACAATTTAGATATAAAAAAATTAATTGAGATTCAACTCGTTGCGAGAACCGGGTGCCACTCAATATGGCTATTTAAGAGAATAAGTATTTTTATTTTCGCCGATTTACACATCTTCTTCCCCATTAATAACTAGTTTTGTCCACTTTTTTATTATTTAAAGTGAGAAAACGATAAGCTTTATAGAAAGAAAAAAATTTAATTAAGGATAGCTATAAATTTCAAAAAATAAGAAGGACTTAAGAGCTTCAATCTAGTATTTATTATTATAAAATTGTATAAAAAAATTTGCGAATCAAAAATATTGTGTACACTTTCAAACAAATTATTGAAACTAATAACTTGAGATGACAATAGCCAACAGAAAGCCAAGTTACTTGGATTAAATAATAATTAAATATTTTTTAGAATGTTGTCAAGTGCATCTATTAAAGACGTGATTCTTTCGAAAGGGGAGTCTCTTAAATTGCGGGACGCAGCCAAAGGATGCAATCAAAAGATGCATAAAGAGAATTTCCGTCGCCAGATAGCGGCTACATGACCTAGCGACTTTATCAAAATGCTTACACAGCAACCAAATTTTTTCAGCAACACTTACATTATCGTCACTTTTGCATTTTATGTGTATATTGTGTAACAGATTTAGATGTTAATATCTGAAAATCAATGTTGAACTATTTGAAGAAATGATTAACTTTAATAGTTTTAACATCACAATACGATTGTGTGTGTTAGTTTGTGATAAAAAGGTTATTAATGTGACTAATTATGATCTATTAATATTATATTTTTGGAAAATAGCAAATTCTGTTTGTTTTCCAAGTCTTTTTGGATTTTATTTACACATACACTAAATACCTCGAGTTCATCTTTGGATACTTCGATTTCCAAAATGTCTGAATGTATTAGCTCAACGCTGTTTAGTAGTCCATACAATTTGGATATTAAAAGATTAATTAAAGTTCAACTCGTAGGAAGGACAGGGACTGATAGAATTAAAATTTGCTTGCCACTAAATTTGGCTGTTTAAGAGAATAAGTATTTTTATTTTGGCCGATTTACACACCTTCTTCCCCATTAATAACTAGTCTTGTCCGCATTTTCACGATGATTAAACCATTTTTAGAGCTCTATAGATAGAAATATTGTAATTAAGAGCAGCCACATATGAATGACAGAAAAATAAACTATAAATTCCGATAAAGAATAAGGACTTAAGAGCTCTCCTCTAGTTTTTAATATCATAAAACTTTGTTAAAACATTTACATATCAAAAATATTGTCTACTCTTTCAAACAAATTATTGAAACTAATAACTTGAGATGACAATAGCCAACAGAAAGTCTAGTTACTTGGATGAAATAAGCAGTAAATATTTTTTATTATGTTGTCAAGTGCATCTATTAAAGACGTGATTATTTTGAAAGCGGAGTCTTTTAAATTGCGGGGCGCCGCCAAAGTACGCTATCAAAAGATTCATCAAGACAGTTTCCTTCGCCGGATAGCGACTTTATCAAAATGCTTCCACAGCAACCAAATTTTTTCAGCATCACTTACATTATCGTCACTTTTGCATAGTATGTGTACATTGTGTAACAGATTTAGATGTGAAGATCTGAAATTCAATCTTAAACCATTTGAAGAATTGATTAACTTTAATAGTTTTAACATTACAATACGATTGTGTGTTAGTTTGTGATAAAAAGACTATAAATGTGTTTATTTATGGTCTATTAATATTATATTTTGGAAAATAGCAATTGCTGTATGTTCTTTAAGCCTTTTTGGACTTTATTCACTAATTCACTAAATACCTCGAGTTCATTTTTAGATACTTCGATTTCCAAAAAGTCTGAATGTATTGGCTTAACGCTGTTTACTAGTCCCTACTATTTGGATAATTAAAATTAATTAAAATTCAACTCGTTGAAAGAACAGAGACTGATGGAATTGAAATTTGCTTGCCACTAAATTTAGCTGTTCAAGAGAATAAGTATTTTTATTTTGGCCGATTTACACATCTTCCTCCCCCTTAATAACTAGTTTTGTCCACATTTTCATGATTTTGAGCTGGAAAACGATGATTAAAACGTTATTTGAGTTTTATAGATAGAAAAAAAATGTAATTAAGGGCAGCCACATATGAATGACAGAAAAATAAACTATAGTTTCCGAGGAAGCAGAAGGACTTAAGAGCTCTCCTATAGTTTTTATTACCATAAAATCTTGTTAAAACATTTACATATCAAAAATATTGTGTACTCTTTCAAACAAATTATCGAAACTAATAACTTAAAATGACAATAGCTAACAGAAAGCCAAGTTACTTGGATGAAATAATCAGTAAATATTTTTTTTGAATGTTGTCAAGTGCATCTATTAAAGACGTGATTCTTTTGAAAGCGAAGTCTCTTAAATTGTGGGAATTAGCCAAAGTATACTATCAAAAGACAGTTTCCGTCGCCGGATAGAAACATTATCAAAATGCTTCCGCAGCAACCAAATTTTTTTAGCAGCAATTACATTATCGTCACTTTTGCATTCTATGTGTACATTGTGTGACAGGTTTAGATGTGAAGATCTGAAAATCAATGTTGAACTATTTGCAGTAATGATTAACTTTAATAGTTTTAACATTAAAATACGATTATGTGTTAGTTTGTGATAAAAAGACTATTAATGTGACTATTAATGGTATACTAATATTATATTTTTGGAAAATAGCAAATGATGTTTGTTTTGGAAGTCTTTTTTGATTTTATTTACCAATTCACTGAATACCTTGAGTTGATCTTAGGATACTTCGATTATCAAAAAGTCTGAATGTATTGGCTCAACGCTGTTTACTACTCCATACAATTTGGATATACAAACATTAATTGAAATTCAACTCGTTGCGAGGACAGGGTGCCACTCCATATGGCGGTTTAGGAGAATAAGTGTTTTTATTTCGGCCGGTTTAACATCTTCTTCCCCATTAATAACTAGTCTTGTCCACATTTTCACGATGATTAAACCATTTTTAGAGCTTTATAGATAGAAATATTGTAATTAAGAGCAGCCACATATGAATGACAGAAAAATAAAATATAAATTCCGATGAAGAATAAGGACTTAAGAGCTCTCCTCTAGTTTTTAATATCATAAAACTTTGTTAAAACATTTACATATCAAAAATATTGTCTACTCTTTCAAACAAATTATTGAAACTAATAACTTGAGATGACAATAGCCAACAGGAAGCCTAGTTATTTGGATGAAATAATTATTAAATATTTTTTATAATGTTGTCCCGGAGTATCTTACATTGCGGGACGTAGCCAAAGTATGCTATCAAAAGATCCATCAAGACAGTTTCCGTCGCCGGATAGCGATTACATAACCTAGCAACTTTATCGAAATGCTTCCACAGCAACCAAACGTTTTCAGCAGCAATTACATTATCGTTGTATTTGTACATTGTGTAACACGTTTAGATGTAAAGATCTGAAAATCAATATTGAACTATTCGAATAAATGATTAACTTTAATAGTTTTAACATTACAATACGATTGTGTGTGTTAGTTTGTGATAAAAATACTATTAATTTGACTAATTATGGTTTATAAATGTAATATTTTTGGAAAATAGCAAATGTTGTCTAATAAGGTACAATAAAGTTTGTTTTTCAAGCCTTTTTGGATTTTATTTACTAATTCACTAAATACCTCAAGTTCATCTCTGGATACTTCGATTTCCAAAAGAATGATAAACTTTAATAGTTTTAACATCACATACGATTGTGTGTGTGTTCGTTTGTGCATAAAAAAATATTTTTTCTTTTGATCCAGAAGCAAAATATGTGCCAGCACCACAAGCTCTTCGCTTCCACCCAACGGATAGACGCACTGCAGGTGAGAATAGCCCCCACTTGGTTGAGGTGAGCATTCGTCGGGTTTCCGAAGAAAATGGTCCACTCGACTGGTACTACCTCGTCGTGACACCCGATCCTCTGCCGGCTGACTTTCACACGAGTCGTCACGGGCCGTCCGAGGTCGGGAGCAGAACAGTTGCATCCGAGCTGAAGGTACAGACTGGACCAGTCACAATGTCATCGTCTCCGCCACTTGCCTCGTCGGGGGGTTCGAGTGAAGCCGTGAAGTCGAGACTTTCCAGCCATGCTGAGTCGAACGGAGCTGTCTCTTCCCATCTGCCGCCGCCGACCAGCTACAACCTGACAGAACTGAGCCGATATGCTGATCCCAGACTCTGGGAGAGTCGGTCAGCTCCTTATCTGGCCATGGCTCGACTTGTCGACAATCTCTTCACACCCCCCCGAGAAACAGTTCTGATCGCACTCGGCGGATCGGCCAGACGGTTACTGTCATGGCCCAATTCTCTGGCCGCTGGGACCGGTGAGCTTGTGGGAGCTGGGAAATCTGATAATCTGATTGACTTGACAACGGAAACGGACGTCTCTCACGGCGTCTTCAATAAGGCGCTATTTTCGGGTACCTTGTATCGAGCAGCTCTGCGAGTTTGTTCTTCGGTGAGCAAGTGCACTTTTGTAACATAAAATAAAAATATTATAATACCATAATATGCCATGACACATTATAAAATATATTGAATATTTTATATTGATATAATATAAATAATTAATAATATCAATATTAAATACATTAAGTATTATAAGTAGTATAATATTACTACAAAATATCCTATATGACACAACATAGTATGATAGAAAATAAGTATACTAATCGAAATTTTCTCATGATAATATTAAATACATGCACACATACGCGCACAGCAACAAGGAATGTTGTCTATAATGCAACTGTATATGTCTCATTGAATTCCACTGTACTACTAATTAATTATTGAGTAGGCTTCGCGACTTTTAACAAGAAATAAATAAGCATAGCCTTGAAGACATGAGTTTATGTTGAGCACTTTAATATTCAATTTATCAGTTTATTGCAGAGGCAAAGTTTACACTTTTCGGTCGAATCTGAGCTAGATCTGTTACTTTTCGTGTCTATCTTATACGAAATTTGAGTTTAGCTAATTGTGCATGGAAATGATTTGTCTATTCCGCCAGTTTCATGATCAAAGCAATGTTCGACTTGCTTCAAAATGGTTTCTAGACATCTTTTTGAGAGTGCGCATGACAACCATCGTGGGTCCGGTGTCCATAATTATCGAAAACTGTCCACCACCTAAAGCTATGTTAGTCAACATGAATGCACCGAAATGGGCTGTCCAAAATATCCTACTTACTGTCTGCTCAGACGGTACATGTTTTACTGTTTACTGGCCTAAAAGTCATCCGGTGGTAAATACAACTCGACGGAATAAATATTTATAACCACAACCGACGCAATTATTTTAATAAAAATTGTCTCATTTTGGAGTGGTGGATGATGTTTGTTTGGAAATTGCGGAGTTTTATGCACAGAATTGAGAGCAAATTCGTTTTAAAAAATGAGAATATGCATCCCATCATGTTTTAAGGTTGCCTTAGTTTATGTTGGGCTTTTTTTTATCTAAACTTGCGTCCCATTCTCCTCAGTTTTTGTTTATTGTTTACTTCGAGTCTCGTCATACGGCATGGGATCGTAATTTTACTTTAATCTGTTGTCGTTTGCTTTTAATGAGGCTCTCATTCTGAAGTCTCATGCATTATTGCAAAAGTATTTATCTTTCTACGAATCTTTTAACCTTTCTTTGTTGTATAATGACTGATAAAATGTCTCAATCATCAGCAGATTTATTAATATTTGC